CCTGTATCTTTTATCACAACACAAACACCAACACAGTGTTAAAACAATTTTTTTTACATAAGTTCCTTTTTTACAGTTTTGCGTACCGTAATTTTTTTACCTTTTCGCAAAAAGGCGCAATTACAAATTTGCTAATATTTGTTATTTATTAACTCAATACAGTTTTATCTTTTAGATTTAGTCAGAAAATTATTTTTTTTGTGCACGGATACTGATTTTGGTGTGTTTTAACAATTGAATTGTGTATTTTTATCGGTTTAATATTAATTTGAGAAACATTTGCGCAATTATCGCAGGGCCTACAAATTTAGTATCACCATCTTTTTATTCTACCGGGCCTGCGCTTTCAGAAAATATATGGTTTGGGGGGTCTTTTACAAACGCTAGCAACGCAGCAGTTGAAAATCAAACCAATAGGAAAAAATTGCAGAAAATTCAAAAATGGCTTGGCCAGCTGATTTGAAAAATGTTCGGAGGGCTTGGCAGCGAAAGGGTTAAAGGGTATTTAATAAAACACAAACATTCTTGTAAAACACTGACAAAAATAAAAATAAATGGGCAAGATATACAATATACTAATTTCTAGTTATAAATGCCATTTGTAGCCATTTTTTTCTTGGAAGCAAGCATCTTTATTTAACAGATCATATATAGTTCAAAGCTAAATAAAACAAGTACAAGGGACTCTTAACTCCATAATTAAACTCCAAGCAAGCCACTCAACACACATTTTACATTCAGATATTTGACCTGCTGTATTTGCCATCAGTTTATTACCATGTTAAAACTACTCTCCTGATTTATGCACTCCTGCTGCTATGTATAAGCGGGAACACAACATCACTATCCAAACTCAGCAACTTCCTGTGACAAGTTCTCATCTTGCTTCAAGCACAGTGGAAGATAAAATCAGCAGCACAACTCTTCCCTATGTTCTCCCCTTGCTGTAAGCCTAGCACAACAACCCTCAATGCAGTATCTACGGTAGTATCTTAAATGCTGGAACGGGAGCACTGCAAAAGGCCAAGACAACCTGGAACTTGCAGCCAACCCAAATTTCTGGAATGCAGGGGAATTACGGCAGGCTTCTATAAAATTGTTTTTGAAACAATATGAAGGTTAAGTAAAAAAAGGTCACTGACCAGTGTGCCAATTTACTTTCCCCCTCCCCCATCTTAGTAAAAACTTGACTAAGTCCTATGCTCATTAAGACTTAACTATTGTAATCAGTGGCCATTTCCCAGGGTACAAGGTAGCTGACCTGTTGTCACCAGTGATGCAAGCAGCACATGTGCCTGTAGGCTTCTCGCTCTGTTCATAGTAACGGGCGTCAACATGAGCCTCCTCAGCCTTCTTCTTCAGTATCTCTCCAAACTTATCAGTTCCAATGCATCCAAAAAATGTGGCAACCTTATATGGTTTCTGGATCATCCACTGTAAAATCAAGAAGACATTCAAGTAAGATAAAAACAAAATGGTTCCGTGTTTAACAATAAAGGGGGACAGTCATAATGCAATAAAACATTCTGATGGAAGCTGCTTAATTACTGTAACCAACAACATTCAGAGGTTGACTGGAAATTCAGAAGTCCTCAAAGCATAACAAATAGTTATCCTTTTATCAAACTTTATTTAATGAATCTTTATAAAGTTTCCTTGATTGAACTGCACAGTGAGGGATGTTAACATTGCTGCAGGAGACAAAAGAAGTGGAATCTACACAAGCAGAGCTTTGGGGTGGGAGGGGAAGCTACACCTGCTTGGGGGAAGAAGGAAATGGTGTTCAAAATGTTTCCTTACTCTTTAAAGGGAATGTACAGTGATTTTGCACCTGCAACCTGTCCTAGCACCCAATCCTAATCTAAACTAGAACAAAAAGTCTGTTCAGAGATATTAAAAGATGAAGGTGAAATTCATAGACAAAAAGATGTTAGAGCAATGATTCACCTCCTTCTGCTATGTGGTCATTTATTATTATACAGGATTTATATAGCACCAACAGTTTGCGCAGCATAATGGTTTGGTAATCCTTTTGCATGTATAAACTGTCAATTTAAAGTTAGCATAGTTGAATTCAAAAAGTTTTCCTGGACTTCAAGTTAATTTCTATGTTCTATCAAATATGGCTGCCGATTGTGCCTGCTGGTATGTGCGTGGTGGTGTACAGCCACCATACTGCACATGCATCCAGTTTGTGAGAATCCAGAGCTGTAGGGTGCCGCTGCAACAGTGATGCCGCACTGCGCATACATTGGGTTTGTCTGAAAGCATCATCATTCATCTCATATTAATGATGCGTGATGGGGGCAATACTGTGCATGTTTGGCTGCCATTATCAGCTCAAGTGGGAGTGTTCTCACTTTCAGCTAAACTATTTGTTTACTAGGCTGTTTTACAGCTTTAATAATAGGAGACGAGAGCAAGGTGCTGGACCCAGTTTTGTAGGTGGTTAGTGGAGTGTCAATCACTGTCTGCAAAGCAGTCTATTTTTTGCCAGAGTCCAATGTCCTGAAGGCAGCAGCATAACCCAACGCACCTAAATTATATCATCCCATATTGCTTAATTTAATAAAAGAAACAATTTGAAATAAGATTCAAACCTGAACTACAATGATACATTTTATAATCAAGATGCAGTTACTTGTACATTTTGCATATGTGATCTGCGTCCTTTAATTCAAGTTAGCCAACATTAGGCAGAGAAGAGGTAGCTGATGAGCTTTTTTTTTTTTTTATAATGAAAATGCTTAACTTAACTGGCAAAAAGGAAGGAAGGAATTAAATATCTCAGCGAGACTGAACTGGCTGTTAATGAAACAATAGGAAAGGATAGTAAAGAGGAAAGGAGGGGGTTGGAGCAGATTGCTTCAAACTAGCCCAGCTCTCCTCTCATTACAGCCTATGAGCTTATCCACTCAATCTTCTGTAAGAATTGAAAACTGCACCAATTTGCTGCCATGTGGGCATACGACTAATTGTTTTCTGTGCAAGATTTAAATAAATGATCAAAATTCCAATACTAATCAGCATAAAATGCCGGGATATAAGGAGGTCATTGGCCTACATGAATATAAATTCCTTTTAACATACAAACACTAGACATGGATCGCAGTGGACTAATACACTGTATTTCCAAGTAATTTCAAGAATTTTAAATATGACAATGCTGATGCACTCAACCACAAATAAAGTTTCCATAAGAAGAAAAAAAAAAAAAACACTTATTGGAGGAAACTGAACATATTTCAAGTGTTACGATATGCACTCCATACAGAGTAAAAAGGAACAAAGTGGCAAATGTACAGCGCAGGACAAAACTCCTCCCAAGTTCCACTCCTGTCTTTATTGTTTTTCTAAACCAAGCCTAAGAGACCAATTAACCCGCTCTTGTATTAGATCACTTTGCACAGTCAAAAGGTGAAATGATGATAGGTATGATTTTAAACAAGAAAAATTAACTATGCATGATCCTAGAAGCCTGGGGAGGTATCTATCCAAACTCTCAACTTTTACAGAATACATGCTCCATTCATAGCAGTCCATACCTTGAAGCCAATTCCTCTACCACAATCATACAGACACTAAAGTCAATTTGGGCAGAAACCAGTTAACCTACAATATGTTTATGGACTGTGGGAAGAAAATCATGTAAGTACTGCATAAAATACAAACTTTAAGCAGATAGTCTAACATTTTTGTTAAGTACTTTGAAGAAAACTATACTACATTTAGGTCATCTAGCTCCGCATTTACTTAGAAAATACATGTCATTGTCAGATTATTACCTTTAAAAAATGCAAACTGAGACAGGTTGCCAGAAGCCAGATAGAAAGTACATTGTGTAATTGGTTCCCAACCAAACAGCAGTTTCCTAGGTAACCAAGATGTGCATTTCTAGAAGGTGAGAGATACTGCACCCCTTATGCCTTGCTTCGTGGTTGGAAGCAATACTAGAACTTCTTTTGTGACTTCAGACTATGTTTCCTGGAGCAAATTAATTAATTTAAAGAAATTGCATTTTAAGGCGAAGTACAACAAATACATGGATAAATGGACATTTTAACAGTAACCTTCCATCTCAGCCGCAAGACATAGAAAGTAAACCTAAATAAATCAAAAACTGCTACAGAGTTTTTCGAGCAAAAGAGACATGCCAAGTCTCTTCTGCCAAAAAACAGCTGCTTCTGTCAAGTACACTGCATGGCGCTTGCACTGTGCTATGTACTACTCATGGATGCTTCCCAGCATCTGCAGTGTGCTGGGAACCGAGCCAGGTGCCGAGACCAATGCAACTTCTGTGCGCATGCACAAAAGTGAAATCATCACAGGCAGCTTAGAGGTTGGACAGAATGATGGGGGGACCCTGAAGAAACCGCAGAGAATATGGAGGATGGAGCACCGGCTGGCAGCTGATCGGTAAGCGCTGGAGGAGAGCACACTTGTCATGCAAGTGTGTCATAATGTGCAAGTATGTTGTGCATTAAGAGCACACCTACCGCAGTAGACTTTACTTCTGCTTTAATAGGCCAGCATGGTATATTCTCCAAACTCATCAAGTACCAGCTAATAAAAATTAACAGCTGTACATACAACACTTTGGGCTGCCAATCATGTGTCACTCCTGCTTTTATAATTACACTGAAGTAAGCTTAACCCAAAATGAGATGGAAAATAGAGAGTTCCAAAATGAATACGGATTGGTAGATGGGCGGCAATGTTTGCTGCAATATTCTGGGACATCAATGCAAGCAATCTCCTTAGAACAGGAATAGGTTTATGTTCAAAAGTATCTTTAGTAGTCTGTTACTAAAAATGATTATACCTGGCAAAAATAATTACAGCACCATAACATGTTTACATGTATCCTCTTCTGCACTGTAGTACCTACCCCCAGTTTTACAGAATCCTTGTTCATTGGATAACATAACTGGCCCATTTTTATAGAACTATGAACAGTCAAATGATATCCAGCATTAGATATGAAATAGGACAACCCTAGCATACCTTCAGATGTGAATATTGGAACTACAAGTGTCGGGTTTGGTAAAACATGCCAATTAGCCATTTGGGTAACTCTTATGCCTTTCAGAATTCACCAGTAAGGTCTACTGGACAATTTTCAAGCAACAATGGCAGGTCGGCAGTATTTCACAGAACTCCGAGATTAAGAAAGGGTTAATGCAGAACTTCCATTTCCGACAAACTTTTCAAAATATTTTAGCAGCTGCACTGCCACAGTCTAAGTATGCAACATCTACAATGCTGCACACATTATGGGGCAGGTTACAAACTATACAACATAATACTGCTTCCATTGGAGGTAAGTGATTAACATAGGAAAAGTACTATGGAGTGCCGAGAGGGGATTCCGATTAATAAAGTACAGATAAAGGTTTAAACTAAGTTAAAAAAAACATTAAAAAAACTCTGTAAAGACCAAGCCAGGCCTCCCTACTGGTCCTATAAAGTGATTGGCATCCTTAATGAACATCAGACCAAACAGGGTTGGGGGGTGGGCACAGGTATTGGTCAATCACTTCAACTGCCTACATCTCTGCATGTATGGATTATGTAATGTTCATGTTTAACTGAAGGTATTGCATGCATTTTGTTCAACCAAATTTGCAAATATGGGACTCAAAGTAAGATGCCAGAATTTCACTTCAAAAGAAACTTCACCCTCTCAAAATGATTACTAGATTAATGTCAGTATGCGTCTTGTTCTTTGTCATAACATATATGCAGAGGCCTAACAAAATGGGAGATTACAGAAGGGCAGCAGTGAGGACTAAAATCAAAGTCATGCTTGACAGGCACAAGGCTATTATGCAATGCCCAAAAAGAGAATGCTATTAAAATGAGCTCACTTACCATATGTCCCACCCTTATGGACTCACTGAGATGCAAGAAGGAAAGCCCTCCTGCTGCTAACTGCACATGAAATTGTAGTGTTACTTGATACTGGCCAGATGTTACAGTCTGAGAATAGCTTGTTATGTGACAAAGTAGAACAGGAATAACAAAATAAACCAAACTTGTTCTCCAATCACATATTTTAGACCTTGAAAATACAACTTAACCCCATCATTGATCTAATAAAACACAGAACCTCATCATGCATGGGGAGTTAAAATAAGCCTGGAAAGAACACAGGGCTTCAACTGCAGACCTCTGCCTGGAAATGTTAGTTGCTTGGTTGTGATGCTGACCCACTTGCCTTTCATTTTTTTTTTAGTCACTGACCCAAAACAAGTATTTAGATCAAAAAGGTCAGAGAAAAGTTACAAGTCCTTATCTACAATATTGTTTCCAGTCACTGTCAGAGTCTCAAAATACTTAAGACAACAGCAGCATTGCAGATAAAGAGGTTGGTAATGGCAACCTCCATAATTTCTCTTATGACAGGTTTTCTTTAATCCAATAAAACATTTCTG